GGGGTGAGGTGTGGGAGAAAAACTGGTATTTAACTAGATTCCTCCCACCTCTCCTCTCCCTTTGATTTTCAAGCTCACATCCAAATACAAACAAATCCCACAACGCGGTTACAGTCTCACCCAGAATGGTGTGTCATCCTGTCAGTGCTCCCCTCAGATCCCCAGGCCTGGAGCAGCTGGATCTTCCCACTGGCTCAGCCGTGTAATTTTCTGCCACTTCTTAATGAGAGTGCAATTTTTAAGTGGATTCTTCCACAAAAGGTTAATGAGAACTGGCTTGGGCTTGCAAGATACAGCTAAGAAGGGCCAGATACGGGTTCTGATGAAAAACGTCATTGCCGCTTTGTAGAGATAGATAATGTATTGTGACACAATCTGCTAGCGGATATTGGTTTGCAAAGGCCACTCTCTTGTAGCCTGGATCTAGGCTCCTATTTAATCTTCTTTATAATAAAGGGTCTTTTCCTAAAACAGAGACAGAAGTTTCAGTATACAGAATTCTCAGGTTCTTCTTCGCCTTTCAGTTATCCGTTGGTACCCAGACAATAGGAGTGCTTTAGAAACAGCTGAGATCCCATACTAATGAATACGGGATGGGTGGATCATTGCAATATTTTTTTCTCCAAATACTTATCCAACTGTTCAAAAAGTAGTTTCTTCTGGTTACCATTGGGAGTGCGCAAGCCAGACAGGCCTGATTTACCACTCATGACTCCAGAATGCACTAGTATGAAGACTCCTGGCTTCCACTCCCAGCTCTGTGTGTCGCATCAGTGCCAGCTCTATATATTTGCCATTTCCCTCTGTTGATTTATCTCAATTCAGTCACTTGCAGCACTTCACTTGTTTTTCCCCAATGCTAAAATTCAACCTCTCCTGCCTCTTTTTCCTGGGTCCCAGTTTATGGTTTATGACAAACTCGAGCAGACTGTGGCCACTCCCGCACTGAGATGCACAGTATCGCTAATCAACACGAAGTGTCAACCAGTAGGAGGCACCAAACCATTTCTTTTAGTTTACATCACATATAAGCAGCACTATATCAAGTCTACTAACTCAGGCTCTGATCGTGCAGTCCTTTTGCAGGCAAAACTCCCATTGCTTTCAGAGGAGTTACACCAGGAAGGATTTGGGCTTGGTGAGTTTGCAACAGTGTATCTAAGGGTTTGTCCACATAGGGACATCCATGAAAGTTAATCCGAATTAACTAAAGCTGTGAATTTGAAGTGGATTAGTGGACACTGTTAATCAGAACTGAAGTGGCCTTAATTCAGTTTAGTTTAATTCACTTTGGAAGTTAGTTAATTCTGATTAATTTTACTGGCTGTCCCTGTGTAGACAAGCACTAAGAGAATAATTTGGTCAACTGACTGGAACAATAGGGGCAGAATTTTGCCCTCACATATGTAAATTCAGTTCCCTGTAACTCCTACTCAATGGTAAATTGACCTTTGCATCTAGCTGAACTATCCAATGGCTTGTTCTTTGTTAAACCCTTTTAGATTTCTAGCTCTTCAACCTGTTGGTCCTTCTGACTCAGTGGCTGTCCTACCACATTTACTCCATTTGTTAACCGCAATTTTGAACCATAACGAATCCCTCAACTATGGTTCCTCCAAGGTCATCTCTGTTATTAAAAAGGCGTGTCTACCCTACTCACACAGGAGTAAATTTTGAAGAACTTAGCCTCTTGGGGCAAAGTGGAAAATATGGACATTGAAAGGGAACCCATTCAATTGTCATGTGTTTCTTTCACATTTGTGTATCACTATTATTAACAGATGTGCCTAGTTTCCTTCCTCTCCTCCCCCCAGCCAATCCCCCCCAATAGATAGTCTTATCTTTTGTGGAGTAGCAGGAGCAGCTTGGACACTTGATGGAAGGTGGAAACCAATAAAAAACATTCATGAAAATGACCATTTCAAGAGAGATAAAATATCATTATGTGAAATGGATTTGCTGGCACTGCTCACCAAATTTAGCACCTATTAAATTATAGAAACCATTATTCCTCTTATACAGAAAATTCTGAAACTTTCCCTCAAAGATATATTTTATTGTTTTAAGTGGGGTTTAAAGCCATTTTGTTCCTTGTGATAAATCTCTGCATATGAATTTTCTTAGTGATACAATGCATTCTTGTTCTGCTAAAAGCCTTACTGATAAAATACAATAGGACAATACGCCCCTCCGCCACGTGAAAAAAAAATATTAAGGGGTTATTTTGCAGCAAAGAGAGGTCTTCCCAATGGGGGTGTTTGTGGTGGTGGGTCTTGAACTTTTGGTTTTCTCCTGATAGGTAGGTTGCTGGTTAGTAAGTTGAATTTCCCCATCAGGAGTGTTTAACCATCAAATATTGACAATGTACTTAGGAAACCAGTCTTGGTGAGTGATATAACTTATTGCACTAACCTTTCTAAAGAGAGTATCAACTTACATCATTCCAAGTCTCCTTATATAAGGAATCCTGGGAAGTCCTCAAACCATGTTTTCTCTGGATTATTAAATTCTCTCATGCTTTCCTTCTGGATTCTTCATTTTTCTAAACTTTGTCTCCCCATTAGCTAAATTGCTGGTCTGTTTGATTAATAAAATTAATGTCTGAACACATACACCAATCAAATTGTGTTCTTTAGGAGGTGTTCTTTGGTTGAATGCTGGGACTACCAGCTGTCAAGGAAAGAGTATCCTGAGAGTCTACAGTCTGACTTTTTCTCCTCTAGCTGGCCATTTGGCTAAGAGCCACCAGACTAATTAGCCAGAACATTAAAGCGCAAAGGCAGTCATGTCATGGAAAAAAGTTGCATGGGGAGAATGGGGTGGGATGGAGAAGATGCCCTGCGAAGTGAGAATCACTTTGCAATATTGTGCTGTAGAAAAGCACTGCTAGGAATCCTTTCAAAGGATGCTGAAGGAAACTACAAGTCATAACTGCTTCCTACTGGATGTTATAGTAGACACTTGTGCAGGAGAACTAAAAGCATGGAGGGGAAATGAGAGGAAGACCTGTCCCATTTGATCACTTGAGCATAGGAGAAACGAAAGGATGTGGGCGCACCTTCACAGCCTTTTTTTTATTTTATTTTTTTTGCTTTTTAACATTAAGAAACTTTGAAACACCTGCAGTGGGAAACAAAAGGTTAATTAAAAAGAACCCCAGTCTTTGCACTAAGCGGATTGCTGGGACTCCTGCCAGCCTGGGAAGGTTAAAAAGCTCAAGCATGCGTGGGCTGCGGGGGGAATGGCTAAAATTTACAGCCAGCTCCCTGGAAAGTCACAGTTCAGCTATTCTCCCAGAGCAGGTGCTCATGGGAGCGGGCCTGTCCCTTTCAAAGCGTGAAGATTGATGAAGCCTTCGGTCTCACCAACTGTAAATATACAACCAGCCTTGTCAGAGCAGGTTTGTAACATCACTCGCTGACAGCAAGAAATTTTTTTAACCTCCTAAACACACACACACACACACACACACACGCACGCACATATCAAACAAGGTTTTCTCAGCAAATAGAAAAAGTCAGTAAATAACACTGTGGGAAATACAGTCATGTTGTGGACGCCCAGGGCAATAATGTGCAGAGGGCCCAGGTGAGTCTCGCTTTAATTCTGTCCTTTAGAAAACAAATAAACAAAATAATCTTCCTTTGAAATCACAATTTATGGCTGAGGCCTGCAAGGTGGGCTGAGAGACAATGATGATTGGGTGCCAATATAGGACCTGGGCTAGATTAGCTATATTGGATAGATGGCCGCTGAGGGCACTCAGCAGTTTACAGGAGTGGCCCCATGAAGAACAAAAATAACATTAAAATGACACTTTGCCCTTTGTCTGCCATCTGAGGATCTCAAAGCACCTTGCAAACATTAACGAATTAACTCTCACAACTGCTCCCTGCGTGGAGGGAACGTATTATCCTCATTAGAAAGGAGAGAAAACAGACATAAAGAAGCTGAAGCTAAGATTTTCAAAGCTGGCCATCAGAGTTCAGTGCCCAACTCTCATCTCTGCCTAAATGACTCATCCGTGGCCACGCAGTAAGCCTGCAGAGAGCCAAGTATCCTGACTCCCAGTTTAATTTACAAGACAACAAGAAACAAAGGATGGGAGGAGCTGGAAGCGATATCAAAGGAGGCTGGTGCATGGACGGTTACCCTCTTGGTCTCTGTTTCTTTGCTTTTGCGTTGTGTGTGTAATACACATCCAACCAGTCCTCTCCTGAGCCATAATTAATGGGCAAATTTCAGGCAAGCATCATGGCAGAAGTGTGTCCTCAGGAAGCGTCTGAGTGAGCAGGGCTGGCTCCAGGCACCAGCTGAGCAAGCTGGTGCTTGGGGCGGCAGATTGTTCAAGGGGCATTCTGCCCAATCCTAGGGCGGCACGGCCGCTTTTTTTTTTGTTTGTTTTTTGTTTTTTGTTCTTGTTCCACTCCGGCTGCCCTGTAGGGGGCAGCGGCGCGGAGAACCAGAGCGCCCTACAGGGCAGTCCTCTTCCTTCCCGCCCCGCCGACCGGAGCGGAGCCCTCGCGGCAGGT